AGACGTAGATTACATTATAATATGAGCAGTGACAGAGTAAGAAGAAAAAAATAGATTCCTATGAAAACTGTATTTAGACTGATTCTATGAATAGAAGTTCCTGAGGAGCATGAGGTTTGACTTTACTTTGTCCCAATGGCATTTATCTAAATAACAAATATTGTAGTAGTTTGATTCCCATCATTGTATTGAATTATAGTTGATTTATTCTGTTATTATAATACTCCTTAGATTTAAGTGTGTGCAACTTGTGGCTTGATAAACTCCAGGAATATTTGAATGTTTTACTGGAGTAGTTTTGTGTATAAGTGGGAACATAAAATGGAAAATGTCTGCCACGAATTTGGGAATGGTGGGTTTTGTAACAGACTTGAATATGACTATGCTCACTGGAAAGATCTTTAAATGGGATATTTAAATCGCTAGATCAGCAAAGTGAAATCATTATTTAGTCTTACGGTGTCATACTTGTGATACTCAATGAAAAGTGTTTATCAAAGATGGTCTTATGATTCCTGGAAGGAGTCCAAATTTGCAGCACATAAATGTTCATTAAAAAAAAAGAAAAAAACAAAAACAAAAAACAACTGCAGTGCAAAGTCTTGGAGACAGAACTGAACCAAAAGTCAAACAGCTCAACTCCAGCACCATTAGCTAAATAAACAGGCAAGCTCAATGCCTTTCCTGAGGAAGAAAGGCTGTTTGGTGTGTGCTATGTGAGTTGGAAGAAGTCAGTTTTATATGTGGCTGCTCTATTTATGAACATTTAAGAACGATGCTTTTGACTAAATGTCTGTCATCTTGGATCATTTCTGTTGGCTGGCAATTGCTCTTGATAGTTATTTGCTTTTTTGACAACTGCATTTCTAGTGTCTTAGTATGTTGCATATTAACTTCATGTGTCCTGGGCTGTATGTGCATGGTCCAATAAAAAGCAACCACAGTCATCGATGAAAGACGTGTGCTATTGTGCCAGTCCATGTGTAAATCTACATATGCATAGGTTTATGTCTGTGCATCTGTATATTTATGAACACGTACTCTATATATTCATTTTTTTAATTCTCTATTTATTTAAGCAGGTATTTATCCTGAGGTCAACATTTCTTTCTCTCAAGAGAGATACAACATGTCCAACATCAGCATGGCCAAAAGCAGAAAATCACAGCTGACACACTTTACAATGACAACACTGCACTTGAATCTATAATCAAAAATTCTCACAATAAATGAGAGACTTTAATTTAATAAATTACAGTTCCTGTGTATTTAAAGATTTTTTTTCCATGTTAAACATCATGTGACCTGACTGTATCTAGAATACACATGGCATATTTATATGGGTGTGTTTCTGTGTGTCTGTACATGTGTGTATATAAATAGCTAATTTGCATGATTGTTCCTATTTTGTAACCGTGTGAGCACCTGGATATGTACCACCAGTATTATTAGCTCCTAATATTTTTTAGTGCTCGTTCTCGTGCTCTAAATCAGTGCAGTTAAGCCCTTTCTTCATGCCAAAACAGTCATGTAGAGAAGGAGCTTGATCATCTCAATTACCTTTATAATCACAGAGTGAGCCAATGAGGAGGAGAAACAGAGCAGATCACAGTTTGCACAGTGAAATCAGAGAGTTTAAGCATGACGGCCTTAACCCCCACTGGCTCCAACCTATTATTGTTTACCACTCCTATGAAGATGTCACCAACAGCAATACTGTTTTATCCACTTACAACATTTCAAAGGAGTGCAAAGGGCCCCAAGGGTGCAATAAAAAAAAGGCTTTAAATAGTCTTCAACGCTGGTCTCCAGGGGAATCGCCCCTCGCCTTAAAAGACCTAATTTAATAAATTTGCTCTTTAGGCGTTCGTCTTTTCGATTTGCATCGTCTTATTATGGATTCATTCACATGCAGCCCTTTTGGTCTAAATATTGCCCCTCTTAGCTAATGCTTAACCATACATATTTTACTCTTTCAGGAAGACCACCTACATTCGTTTCCAATGCAACTGGGTTCATTAGCACCTCGGAGATAATACGGCGGCTGTATGCTTAATGTAAGCACTGCTAAGTCTCTAATTTTCCACAAATAATTCCCCTTGATCTCAAGTGAAATTTATGCGGGGGCTTTAACATGGCTGGTCCAAGTAAAGTAAGTGTGTACATAAAATGAATTATAAATGGCAGACTGTGTATTTCAAGTGTGGCTAAGAGAGAATGTGAGAGTTTTTTTTTTTTTTTTTGGATGGAGAGAGTACGTGTGTGTGTGTGCAACATTACGAATGAGGATATTTTTAATGCCTGCTGAAGAGCGTGTGCCCAAATGTAACTGTGATACACTGCATGTGAACAAAAATATGGGATAGAAGAAATGGGGGAAATATGATGGCACATTCTGAGAGCAATACATCTGAAAATGCAGATGTGTTTTTCATTATTTTCAATTTATTAAATTTAAACAGAGTATAAGCAATAACGGCAATTAGAAAGTTTAGTTTTCTAGAGGTGCATTCAGGCAAATTTTAAAGCAATTACATGTAAAGTCAACAGAAAGAGTGGAAAGGATCGGATGCAAATGCACCTGGGACGGTGAAAATGGATGCAAGGACAAGAAAGACAATGTTAAGCCCTTTATCCTGCAATCATGTTACAGAAGTATAAGCTGAAATAGCTTGTTTTCATAATTAGTCCAGTAAACATTTGATCCTGTTCTAAACACTGCCACTAGAAGAAAAGTCACCTATTTCAATCATTTATTCAACAAAAATATAAATCGATGTCATTCTAAGTAAGTATACCCTTGGCCTCACATGTTAGTATTGTTTCTTTTACCAGAAACAACTCCTGAACTTTTTTTTTGTTTTGTTTTGTTTTGTTTTGTTTTTATTCCTGTCCAGCAGGATTTTTCACTACTTGTCTGTGAATTTTTTCTCATGTTCCAAGATTTTTCTAAGGGTTATCTTGGATGTACTGCCTGTCCTACCAAAGACAGTCACTTGCTGAATTAAATGCTGTGGCAAAAAGTTAGATACCCAAAGTGCCATTGCAGTAATTGAGGACGCTTAATGTCACTATTTAAAAAATGACAAAAATGCCCTGCCTTGTCCCAGAACAAGATGTTTTAGAAATGAGCTTGAAACACTTCACACATCATAAAAACACATCATAAAACCCAGGAAATGTGCTTGTGGAAAATGAAAGAGGAAAAAAAGAAAAGAAAAGAGAGAGATAATTAGAAAGAAAAAGAAATTGATAATCACCATTCCTTCATACTGTTAGAATTAATATCTGCTAAATAATAACTGCCTGTTCCTCAATATTAACCTAAACTAACTGTTGTACACTTCACATGTTTATGTTGTTTACAGAACAGATTTAATTATTTGGAACTGTACTAACTTCAGCTGTGCCTTGCAGTTAACCTGCTCTTAGCCTCTTGTTTGGAATGAAGATGCTGTTAGTGCTCGGCCACAACAAGCCTGATAGAGACTGATTGAACCAAATCATTTGAATTATGCAAGGGACATTAGTGTGTGTAGATACATACTGAGCCAAATTGGGCCTGCATACGTATGTGTTCATGCTCCAAAGTCAATGTTTCTATGCATCTGTGTGCTTGTACTGTTACAACAGTGCCTTTGCTGTAATAAAATCTTAAGTTTGCAGTCAACTCCAACACGAGATGTTTGCTTGAATTGCACTCGGTTATAGTGTTGGTATTGATCCTTCCTGGAGTCCTGTAATATCATTGGATGATATCATTGGGTGATATTACAGTTGTTTTATGAACACAGTTGCTGAGGTTGCATAGAAGGAAAAAGAAAAAGTATTTTAAAGCAATATTTCACTTTGCAGGCTTTATTTCTGTCGGCGGTCAGACATTTAGCATATTTCAAGTTAGGCTCCTTTTAAAAGGGGGTTCAGGTTTAAGGACAAAGTCGTGTCCAGTAGAATCAAATTGTTGGAAGATACAAATGAACTGGGAACTTACACATGAATAAACTGTAGGTCTTTTCTCCCGCGGTGGTATTTTGCAGATTTACAGTCAGATCTGTATGACCAATAACATTTCACTCATTAAAGTAGCCTGACAAAAGCAGACTGATTTTATTTGTTGTTTTGTTCTTGTCGTGTGCTGTATTGTTGCATCTTAGTCGGAACCTCTTAGCAACTCCCCATCAAGGGATCAAGGGGGCACAAATTGGAGCAATTTGGAGTCCTGAAGGGTAAATTTACAACATTTTATTTGAAGCTAAATTTTTTAGCATAAGAATTAAGTGTTTCCAGACCAAGCTGAGAACATTTATCTGTTGAAGAAGATCATGTGATATTGTAAACCGCTGAAGAACAGCTTCTAATGTGACCATTTAGTCCATTTCTTTTGTCAGTGCTGCTCCAAACAGACACATTTGGAAATATGAGTCTTTGTGAGACAGAACCAAGATATGCTTTCCAATGAAAGAAGACCAGAAAACTGGGGTGGAAGCGAGC